ACATATAACTGGCTGTGACTATTAACATATTTTAGTATTGGGTACTTAACTTTCTAAGCTAACAAACACAAAATTCAACAGCATGAACTATGTGAAAACAAACATGCGCTTGTATTTATTTCTTTTAAGCATATTTTATGTGTTCTGATTAGTTTAATATCATTAACGCATAACACTGAAGTAAGCTTTATAACAGCTGAATATAGATCACTACAAACCTGAAAAGATGTTCTCCCATACTATTACATATCACTTCATCATTCGGATACAGTTCGAGAGCCTGTTCATAGCAGTTAAATAGATCTTGAATCCGTGCTAGAGAATCTAGTTCTTCTGCCCATTTAAAGAGGGTAAACTGAAATGTTTCCTAGAAAATAAAACACAGACCATTGAGTTGGCAATAGTTACCAGAAACATTCTGACATGCACCTGAACACACTTCTTTCACTAAAGCAGCAGCATGCAATTGCTCAGTATTTTCCCAAGTTACTTGGGACAACACTTACCACTTGAAGGAGCTAAAGTAAGCTCTCAAATATCCACACTGAATATCATCACCCAACAACTTATACTAAGAGCCAGGATGTATACTACTGCATGCTGTGCTGTACTACAAGCCAATAATAACAACAAGGGATTATCTTTATTGAACTTTATTAACACATACTGCACTAGAAGCCTGATTTTCTTCCCACAGAAAGATACAACTCATTAAATAAGTTGCTGTCTGTTACTGTTTTTCTTCTTTTAGAAGACTGAGTAGCAAGATCAGTTACAAACAAAAAGTCACAGGCACAGAACATGTTACATAGTCTCAAGAGAAAACCAAACAGCACTTACTTTGACACTGGTCTTTAACTCAGGAGCTAGATTCAGTACCAGGAGATAGTGAGCATATGCAGTTCCATAATCCTGGTCCTCCAGGCAATGCTCAGCACTCTGCAGAGATCGGGAAACCAACTCCCGCCTGCCGGCTTCCTGACCACCTCTGGGGCTCCGACGAAGTTTAGCATTGGAGTTGGGCATTCTGAAGGATGGAAGTACTAGCCCTTCCTAAAATCAACAAATTACATGTTCTGGAGGCCAAAAAGGTTACGTACAAAACTGGTAGACAAAGCAACATTTTAAGAATTTACAGGTATTTAAAACTCTTCCCCAAATCCTAAGCATTCAAAAACATTCTTATCTTTACACCTATATATCTTATATATCTTATCTTTACACTTCTTTATGTTTCCATAAACTTTAAAATAAACGTACACCATTCAAAATTTAGGTATGAAACATACTTGTATTGTACTAGATCCTACAAACAGCTTGCATTTCTTTGCTTTTCAAGAACTAATTTTTGTAATGTGTATTTTAGCATATCTTTAAGTAGCTTTGCACACCAGAAACTCACACATTCAGAGTTCTCATAATCGAGCATAACATTTGCAGGTTAAGGTTCTTCCACTTCAGTAACAACATCTCCATAAACTAAGGGCTTCCAGATAGAGAGCTTACAAGCTCCCAGTTTACTTTACGTGAGATACCATGATTGTTTCTTCCCCTCAAGAAAGCGTCAGTTAACAGGATCAGTACACACGTTTTAAGCGTTAACAGTTACCAAATTTGCAATGCTTACCTACGTGCAAGGGCCTAACAGTGCCTTCAGGATTTTCAGATATATCCTAAAGCTGAAGAGAGCGAACGTTACATAAAGAGGAGCCGCAAGGAACACAGCACCACCCTAACAGCTTATTTATTAATAAAATAAAATAAAAAAGCCCCGGCCACGTAAGAAGCGACCACCACCAACTTACACAGCAACACACAAACCCGCCTGCCACACGGCTTCGGGGGCCCAGAGGGCAGCAAGGACAGGGCGGGCAGGCCTCACCAGCACCGGGCTGGCGGAGCAAGCCTCAGGGCCACCACCCAAGCAGGCAAGGAGCAGCGGGGAAGGGAGAAGCCCGTACCCTACAGCCGAGCCGGGCGCTCCCGGGGCCATCACCTGCTGGGCGTCAGCCGCCGCTCCCCCACAGCCCCCAGGCACGCCGCGGACCGCCGCCATCTTAGGGCCCAGCGGCAGGCGGTGCCGGGACGTGCCGGCGCCCCGCCCTGGTGGCCGCCCCCTAAGATGGCGGCGGGCGGGTCCACGCCCCGCTCGCCTCAGGCCCGCTGGAGGAAGGAGGGAGGCGTGAGGTGGGCTGCGCCCCGACCGCAAAACCCAGTTACACGCCGCAGGATTGAGCAACTCTTCTGCTTCACGAGATTGAGAAATCCCTTCGCTTCGTCTTTATTTCTGTTTAATTTATGAGGAAAAAAAAAACTCCTCCTCCTTTTTTTTCAGGCTTCTCCTTGCTATTTAAAGTTTAGGCATGAGGCATTCACTTTATCTTTTATTTACCTCAAGGAACAGCTGATAGGCAGAACATCTTTAAGAGCCCAAGAAAAAATCAGAGTGCTAGAAACTAGCATTTTAGAAAAACTAATGCTTTGTAAGCTGACAAAGAGGCTAGGCAAAAAAATCATAACTCTATTAATAAGCAAAAGGCTTGAGAAAGCTAAAACATAAAATCCATGGATTTTTTTTTTTTCTTTTTTTTAGGCAAATTTAGCTTATTCCTTTCAAGGTGAAACTTCAAAATATTTTGATCAGAAACTGTTCCTTAAAATTTCCTCACTGCTTTTTCATGTGGATTTTGACTACTTATTGGCGGGGCGTGCCAAACATGAACCTACAAATAACTCTGCTTGTCCCTCTCCCTCTGCCACATATAAACGTGCATGTGCATATATATGCACATATATATTGTCCAGGTTATTTTGCCATCCACATCCAATGTTTAAAACTGGAAATTCAGGTCATAGGAACACAGGTCTAGAAGTGGCCTACAGCACTGTTAAATCCAGTCCCTTGCTATTCAACATTACTCAGACCTGCTCTACATGTAAGAGCCTACTACCTTAAATGTTTATAGCATGCAGCATAAGAACCGTGTGCTGTGCAGGCACCACCCATAATTGAACTGCAGTTACGGTGTTTGTAATATTTAATTTGAATTATGTTATTGATAAGCCTGGAGAATGACATTAGAGGAGAAAAATTCATGCCACCTATTTTTAAGTCATAAACAAGTCCAAGTTGTCTTAGGCCTTTGACTCTGCTCTATATTAACAGAGGAGCAAAATTCAGACCTTTGCTCCCACTCCTCAGTGCCTTATCTTGCTGTCTTCAATGCCTATGGCATCACTTGACTTCCACTGTGTAATGTGGCAGGCTGCCTCCTCCTCGGATCAACCACATGCAAGGCCCTGGAGTGATATTTATTTTTTTTTTTCCCCAAAAAGGCAGTGTTCATTTGGTCTTACCACTTTCTGGGACAAGAACAGGCTATGGCATTCTTTATTAATCATGAAACATTGGAACATGAAGCTGTTTATCATTGCTTCCCTTCTCTAAAGGGAAAATGCAGCTCTCCTAGTGTTTTACAGTTTTGGATATTGTAGATGCCTTCACTTTTGAGAAACAAATTGGTACCATTTAAAAAATGCCTGACCAGCATTTTGAGCAAGGTGAAAGTAGTACATGTACATATGGAGAGGAAAGTTAGTCTAAAAGAAACAGTGGCAGTTAAAACCATGGTAAATCCATGGTTAAATGGTTAAATCCATGGAAAATGATTACTATCCTAGACTATTGTAAGTAGGAGGTAAGCCTACAAACATTTTGAGTGAAGTGACCCAAGGGACAGCAGAGGACAAGTAGTTGAATGATGCCACAAGCAGTTTCCATGTAGGAAAGACATTGCCAGAAAGCACAAAAGAACTGGCAAAGCACTTGGGCTGAATGAATTCTAAGAGGACATACAAATATCATCAGAGTGTATCAAATATTTCTTATCTAAACTGAGCTATAAGTCAGGATATAATGTCTTATTAAATCAACTAGTATAAACAGACCTAGCCCTTCAATTTTGAAAGTAAAGCAATGAACTTTAAATTAGTTACTGATGGGGAACAAGCTTCTCTAAATTTAGCTTAATTATGCTTTCCAGCTACAGGAGAACAGCATGGGGAGAAAGACAATCATTAACATCTGTGGGACATAGTGGGAACATGAGGGCATAGTACAGGTGATTATCACCTGTGGACAGTGAGGTGTAACAGGAGTTGGACTGTCCTGAATACTGTGATGGGCCAGGGGCTTGGTAGCTCCATCATTTTCTAAACCTGTTCAGCTGTGTTTTTAGACCAAAGAAAGTACCAGATACATAGCATAAATATTTTATAGTGCTTATTTTTAAGCATAAATCAAGTACTACTGTGTGCTAATTTGACACAATTTAAATTGGTATTTCACACTGTTACATTTGTGGGAGAAGATTACTAAAAACTGTCAATGTCAAATCCTTGCAGTTTGTATGAGTCAATTCAGTTCAAGGGCTGGAGAGGGTTTTTTTTTTTAATTCCATACTCACTTTGTACATCTTGATGGAATACCTCAGAGAAAAATAAAAAAAGGCCACAGAATATAATGTTTGCATACAGCTGCATACTAAGATAATTTGTTGGGTAGAGTTTGTGTTACAAAGGAATGCCTGAAAAGAATGCCCATCTTACCAGCCATGTATGCAATTGCTGTAATAACATTCAGACTAGTTGACAGTAGATTAAAGAATGTTGGTCTGCATCATGGGTGGTCAGACATTAGTCCATTTCTATTTGCAAATCTGATGTATGAGAGGAGTAGGCAGCTTAGTAGTACCTTGCATATGTGTAAGGCTACTAATATAATGCAAGGTGGGAGTTGGAATTAAACTGTATAAACTGTAGCCCAGAATAGGGCTTTCCTCTTGAGGTAAAAGTGCTTAGGAGACAAAACTACAACACCTTGGAAGGATGTAGTTGCTGCCACTGTTTTCATTGGTGTTTTCAACAACTCAACACAGCTGCATGTTTCAAATGGTGGAAGCTGATATCAATGCTCTGTAACAAAACATCAATAAAACTGCAAGTTAATATTACTAATTGCTAACTCATCTCTCCATAGCATACAGATTAGAGACAGAACCAGCCACGGGAGAACAAAATAACAGTGTCTTTCATGAAAATCAGCATTTTGAAGTGATCATTCAAGAGCGTAAGAAAGGTAAGGAAGAACAAAACAAATGCCTTGATAGTGTATGTCTATTGTATAAAATAACTTGAAGAGGGTGTTTCATGAAACCACACTTGCAATGATTATCAAGGGTAAATAGCCACAGTATAGATGAATAATGGCACAAGGAGAGGAGGCTGCCAGAACTTCATGTAGTCATGCTGTGTTAGTATTTAAATGAGGCTACAAGAAGGCTGTAAAATTTGATGACCTTAATTAGAGAATGGCAGAAAAGAAGGCTGCTGATATAAAAACACTTTTAGCCTTAATTAGCAAAGAAAGTGCAGCTCCTTTAATTGCTCATTAAACTTCATTTTTTTTTTTGCCCATTTAATTTAATGGTTTATTATTTCTCCTCAGGTCTTCTCCCTTTCTCTTTTTTAACCACAATTCTGTCATTTCAGGATCAGAAAGTGTTTTGAATTGGTGGGTTAGGCTTTAGAAAAACACATTCAATCATTTTCTGTAGGTGCTAGGAATCCAGCGTGTTGTCTGCATGACAACACTGGATCAACAGTGCAGAATTTCACCAGAATAGTGAATTTGCTTCCTTGCTTTAAACATTAAGTTAAAAATAAAATATCAGTAAATGTAGATAATAAAAATTAAACAAGTTTTTTTAAATTTGAATTCAAGTAACTTCATGCAATGCATGCAACCTGATTACTTTACAACATTTCAGTGGAATGATAGGAGAACTGCAGTAACCATAAACAAGCGTGACAAATATTAGTCTAAATTTCATCCTGAAGATGAACACAGGACAAAGTAAACAAACTATTCATGGAAACTGTATTTGCTCTTGAAATGCTGCTCCGATAATGTAAACAGAGATAAGAAGTATTTGTTATTTTTTAAGGTTGATTTTAATTCTCCTTTTAAACACAGCTCTGCGTGGCACACTGACTTCTCAGCTAAGTTTGGAAAACAGTTGCAGCAGGCGAGGCGGTGCAGCAGTGGGGACACTTGCTTGAAAGGTTGGGTGTGCAGGGTCTTCTCTCGGCACCACCTGCGGTCATTTCAGACACGGGAACAGTCCAGCACTCGGGAAAGTGAGGTGATCGCCTCAGCCTCAGCTGCAGGATTTGCTCTCCCTGCCAGCAGCACCCCTCTGCCCGAGAGGGCGTTGCGGCAGGCGGCCGCCCTGTGGGCTGGGCCGGCGGGGAGCGGGCCGCCTCTTCTCCTCCCTTTCTCCTTCTCTCCTCTCCTCTCGCTTCCCTCAGCGCCGCCCCTGGCAGCAGGGAGGCCGCCTTGTCGCTGCCCGCGCCCAGCCCTGCGCGGGGGGAGCCGCCGGAGCCGCCCGCTCTTTGTGGCCGCGGGGCTCGCAGCCGCCGGAGCCGGGTTGTGAGGGGGTTGTGAGGGGAGCCGAGGCCGGGCCGGCCCCGCAGCCATGGGGCTGCAGCCGCTGGAGTTCAGCGACTGCTACCTGGACAGCCCCTGGTTCAGGGAGCGGGTGCGAGCACACGAGGCCGAGCTGGAGAAGACCAATAAGTTTATCAAGGAGTTGCTGAAGGATGGCAAAAACCTGATCGCCGCCACCAAAAGTGAGTGGGGTTTGGAGGGGAGGGCTGGGCTGGGGGTCGCTCCGTGTCGCCGCTGTCGCCCTGAGGCTGAGCAGCGCCTGAGCAGCGGCTCGCTGCTGCTGCTGCCTCGGCTTTCCGGCGGCGAGCCGGGGGCTGCCTGGCTTCTGCTGCCCACCTGCCGGCCCCCTCACAGCCATTTGGGGCCTGGCTTGGGTCTTCGGCGGTGTATGGCCCGAGCTGAGCCGGGAGGGGAAAGCTGGGGGAAGGAGAAGACCGGTTCAGTCCCAGCGCTGTGTTACTTAGGCAAGCGTTGCATCGCCTACAGAAAGCCACACTTAACACGTGCATGTGTTCCTCACCTGCCGAGAAGCTCCTGAAAATACATCTTTGTTAAAATTTTAAGTGTGTTCAGGAATCACAAGAGTTACACTTTTGCAGTGACAGCGCTAGTTATCAGCCCTGTGGATTTGGCCTTTCAAAATTGGATGGCAATTTTGACTTTTGTGCTTGTTGAAAACATATTGTGTGTGTCTGTGTGTAGTATCTATGCTGTGGTTTGGTGAGAATCTTTTTTTTTTTTGTCTTGAGTGCCCACATTAATAGACATTCTTAATGTAGTATTGTGCTAACATAATTTAACTTGAGATCTAGTAGTATAGTCACCTAAATATCTATTGTGATAGTTGATCCTACCAAGTATACAAATGAATCACTAACGCAGCACTCTGACACCGTTCTCAAAAGTATTCTGCATCTTTGATATCATGGGAAATTTCTGAAGGCAGAGAACCACAGCTTTCAAGGTACTTCATTTAAAGCAGGTTGAGAGGGGTTTGGCCGCTGGTGTGGGATGTGTAGCTGCCTGGATAGGATGAGAGTCTTAAAAAGAGAGGTAACCCATTTGGTGCAAATAAACATTCTTTCCTACTTGTGTCAGTTTGATGTACCTGGGTAAAAAAAAAAAAAAAAAAAAAAAAAAAAAGGTAGCAAACATCTTATCAAATTTCACTTCTTTGTAACTCTTATTTGTTGGCCAGTTAACGTTCAGTTCTTGCAAATCAAGTGTTCCTTGAGGATGTTTTGTAATCTGTGATTCGTGGTGTCGGTAGAAGTCATCTTAACATGGAATACAACGTACAAAGTGTCTCGAAATTTGAGCAAGAAAAATAGAGGGGAAATCATTCTACTTTGCTTATATTCCTCAGCTCCTTAGACAGCCGTCTGGCAAATGTCCCAAACTCTGTTTGACACGCGCAGTTATATACACAGAACTCAATTCAAAAGTCTGGAGGTGGGGAAAGCCCTAATTTCTGTGAGCTTCCTGACCCCAGCAAAATCCTCTGCTGATAATGTTGATTTGGTGTGCAGTGAGTGGTGGACGTAGCTGTGTGTGGTAAGCCTCGTAACGTGTTTCAGTTTTCCACAATTGTCTCTCCCCTCTAGAGAGCCCTGTTTGACAGGTTTGAAATTGGGTCGTCTTCTGCTGCTGCCGGTGAAGCAGTGCCACTGTTCAACAGATGTTAAAGCCAAACCGAACCAGAGGAAATGCAAGGAGGAGTTACAACTTGTTAGAACCCTGGTGGTTAGCATGTTGGTCCTCCTTGTGCTTGCAGAAGAAAGCACTGGCATCTAAATAAGTTGAGGAACCAGATTCCTTCACCGTCAGGAAACCAAATGGGATTAATGTTTGTTCGGAAAACTGGGCTCAAGAAGTGGTCTAGACTCAGCTATTCATCTCTGTCAAAACCGCATTTTCTACATGAAGACTGGCTTGCCACCATCAAGAGAATGTGATAATTAAACAGGGCATTTCAAGAGCTTAAATGGCTCCATTTTAGCCAACAGTTGAGGATGATTTTTTTTTAAAGCTGTTTTATTAGCTAAAGTATTTTTTCTAGAACTGGGTAAATTACAAGAAGTTTCACCTGTTATAGTTGATATGTGAGCATAGTGAACTTCCTGATACGTAGAATGTACTAGGCCCAATATTCTTAAATTTGTGAGAAATGAACTGACTGTATAGGAAGCGCCTGCATTTCCTTATCTGAGCTGTTTTCAGAATTGTGCTTTCCTTATTTCCCTTGTAAAGCAGCAGCTTACCAGAAATATTGTGAGGATTCTTGAGGTGTGAATAACTTATGCGACTTAATGCATCATGCTTCCTGTCTGACAGAAAATATTACAAGTGGCTTTGATGCTCCATCCCGTTTGTATCCTCTGTTGTACAGGAGTGTATTTTCTACCTAAAACTCAGAAGAATTAAATTTTGTTAGTACCAGACTGTGCTGCTTTTAGAGGAAAAGGAAAATCTTTTGTCTTCTTAATTTGGTGAGCTTCCACCCCTCAGTTACGAGGTACGCTTCAAGTGGATCTTTGCAGTTTTAGGTCTCGGTTGTTTCAAGAATCTGATAGAAAGATAAACAAGACTGACTCAAAGCTGTCTCGTTTCCTGTGTCATGGTTTGAATCACTGAGTTGTCTACTTCAAACTAAATATTGGAAAAATGAATAAACAATAGGTATCTCTTTATTTTCTTATGGCAGTTAAATATGTTTAAAAGGAGTACAGGAAGTTTTTTTCCACTGATCAGTAAATACAAGTGGTATGCACATACGCCTTTCAAAATAAAAATGCAGTATATCTCAGGGGATTCTAGTTCAGACAAACAAGTGAAGATCAAAATAGTTTAAAAATAACTTCTGGATGGAGTTAGTAATTCTTCTGTTGAGAGAAATTAAATTTAAAGGTGCCTGATCAAAGAATCCTTGTTTTGAAATAAAATAGGAATTTGAGAGGTTTAGTTCAGAGCTCTTAAAATCTGAGATGCAAGTTATTGGAAGGTGCAGAATATACTGGATAACTACTACATACTTGCTTCCTAATTCCTCCCCCTTCGGTGGCCCAAGTCTTGGTCTCTTGACAAGAATGTAAGATTTGAAGATTGTTTTCTTCTGAAGCTGAGACTTTTCCTGTAAATGTGCATCAGGAGCTGTCGCTTTTTATATGGCAGGATTCCACCCTCAGGGTGGAGTAGGAAGAATCCGCACAAGGGGTTTTGTGAAGGATGCTTCTGTGTGCCCACAGCTGTTTCCAGTGTGTGCATGCATAGCTTCACACTTCTGGGATTTAGGCTTGTATCAGAGGAGAACTCTGTTTGGGTTCAGCTGCTGCGATTTTGTAACAGGCTGCTGAAGAAGAAAGAGAGAAGCTGGGAAGAAGTTGGGTTCCCAGGAGACTTCAGAGTGATGGTGTCACTATGCTATGTCTATCCAAGGGGAAGTCCAGACAAAACTTGGAAGGGAAGGGTGCCCCACATGAGTGCTCTCATCCTCAGCTGAAAAGCATCACACAGCCCTTCATCAAGTCTGCACCACCTACAGCTGCTACCACAAGGGCACTGCAGTATTCAGATACCCCTGTCACTTGTGCTAGCACCCAGAGCAGCTGTTTTCCCCTGTTTGTACCCCGAGAAACTTGCTCTCCATCAGTTGGGGGCCAGCTTTTCACTGGGGTAGGTCTGTCTCTTGTTAGTGTTGCTGTGCAGCTGTTTTGGTTGAGAGCCGGATAGCTTCTACCATACCTTGAGGTTTTGTTTTTGTGAGCTAAGTTTTGTGATGTCTCAGCCATTGTATTTGGTGTGTCAGAGGAGGAAAACACATCCTCGCTAGTCTAGTGCTAGTCTCTGCAGGAAACTGTGTGCTCAGATTTCTAATGACTATTTTTATTGCTGTTTCTGTTTTATGCTTGTTAAAGAAATGTTATTCCTTGCACTTTTCCAGATAGAACATGAAGCAAGAACCAGATTTCTTTTGTCTTTAGGAAGAGTTTGTTGGAATATGAAGAGTTACTGGTAATTGTCACTGAAGAATGCTGGCATGCTCCGGGGAGTATTTCTGCATTCATGAGAAAAAACAGCGAATTCTGTTTCCACTGAGATATTCTTAGTTATTACTAACCGGTCTTTTACAAGCTCACCATCGAGAAGATAAGCAGAGTGGAAATCGTGTTGACAATGGGAATAAAGCCATTCCCAGTCCCATCCTTGACCTACTGGAATAGGCTGAGTATTTCTTCTAGCAGAGTTGGATTAGGAATTGCTCATCAAACAAATCCAGGACCTAATTTGTTGTTGGTGTTGACCAAACACCTGTTTTTGTTTCTGGCCACGTTCTCTTAGTGTATGGTGTTGGTTGACCTCTTAGATGCTGCGCTAGGTGGGTTTATGGTTTGACCAGAGATGGATGTCATTATAAAATGGTAGTGGCTGTTGTAATCTGTGTAAAAACAGAGTGTAGAAGCTGTTCAGATCATTTGAACCACAGTGCTTTTTTTCCTAAGCACTAAATGTCCATTTTTTAAAGCTTTCCTTAGCATAATCCGCATTTATGAATCCACTTAGCTGACTGTATAATTTGTGCCAGCTCTGGAAGTCTTAGGAATTTTCTGCAACAATAATGTTGTTCTTTTGGCACTTAAGTGCATGTCAAAGAAGTAAAGTAAAACAGTTAGTAGGGGCCTCATTAATAACTTCTGTTGCAGAAATGGGCATTCACTGAAGATTTAGAAAGAATCCAAAGACAGAGTAAAACGTAATGTCATTCCTAGTTAAAAAGGAGGAAGAGTGGGGAATACTGCAAGGGAGCCTTAGCTGAGTTTGTGTGCAAACTTTCCTAAATCATCAGTATTAGCTAGGCCTCCATCTTTGCCTCATTTCCCCTGAATGCAGTGGGAGCTATGTATTAGTATATCTTCACACTTAATGTTTTAGAGAGCTGTTTCAGTTTTCAATTGCAAAAATGACCTTTATTTCTGTTATAAGACACATTGTAGATGTGATAACAGTAAGCAAATAAGTGCTCTTATATGAACAGTCTGAAATGCAAGTTTGAAAAAACACTCTGTTAGGGCAAAGTGAGATAAAAATTTCTGCTAAGGTAGTGTTAGGCTACTGAGCAGTATATGCTCTTTTTTTTTTTTTTTTTTTTTTTAATACTATTCAAAAAAGACCTTCCTACTGGAAT